AGGTTGCTAAAGACACCACCCAGAGGAAGGTTGCCACATACACCAGCCAGAGGGTTGTCACGGACACCAGCCAGAAGGTTGTCACAGACACCAACCAGAGGAAGGTTGCCATGGACACCAGCCAGAGAGTTGCCACGGACACCACCCAGAGGAAGGTTGCCACAGACACCACCCAGATGTTGGCTGCCACAGACACCAGCCAGAGGAAGGCTGCCACGGACACCACCAGAGGAAGGTTGCCACAGACACCACCCAGATGATGGCTGCCACAGACACCAGCCAGAGGAAGGCTGCCACGGACACTAGCCAGAGGAAGGTTGCCACAGACACCACCCAGAGGAAGTCTGCCGCGGACACCACCAGAGGAAGGTTGCCACAGACACCACCCAGATGATGGCTGCCACAGACACCAGCCAGAGGAAGGCTGCCACGGACACCACCCTGAGGAATGTTGCCACAGACACCACCCAGGGGAAGGCTGCCACGGACACCACCAGAGGAAGGTTGCCACAGACACCACCCAGATGATGGCTGCCACAGACACCAGCCAGAGGAAGGCTGCCACGGACACCACAAAAAGCAAGGTTGCCACAGATACCACAAAGAACAAAGTTGCCATAGACACCACCAGCAGATTTTTTGCATATGGCCCTGGCGGAAACGTTGCTGGAGACAGCAGCACCCGAACAATTGGAGAATATCCCAGCGAATGGTTTTCTGCAAATAATGCCGGCAAAAATGTTGATGCAGTTAAGATTAGTTGACAGGTTGCCAAGAAAAAGGATAAAAAAGGTGCTGCAGGTAACTACAGAAGACATGACAGCAGTGAGGGCATGTACCAAGGTGACATACATACCACTTATGAATGGGACGATGAAGAAGATGAATTAGACCCTGATGGCTTCTCATTTGCAAATGATGACGTCATGGACACAAGCCAAAAAGATAGATATGATGACTCGGAGAATACAGACCACACCGATGGAGATGAGACAGAAGACACCGATGGAAATGAAACAGAAAACACCGATTGAAATGACAAAGATGGTACAGATCGAGATGGCACAGACGACACTGACAAAGATGAAACAGGTCAAGATGACACAAGCGACACAGATTAAGATGATGACACAGGTACAGAACAAGAAGACGAATCAAATGACACATTTCAAAATGACTACGCAGACTACTTGGGACATGATGAAAATTCACCAAATGGCCAATTGCCCACCCCTGACACAAATAAAAATGAAGTACTTGATCAGGTCATCCCTCTCATATTTGAAGATGACAAAATAATCCGCCATGTGAAACAACTACAACAGGAACAACGAGAAATGAAAGTTGAAATGAACACAAGAATCGACACCGTCCCTTCCTTTGATTTAGATTCCGTGCCCTCGTCGAATGAAGATAACGAGCATGATGATGAATTTTCACTTCAAGGGTTGGTCCGCATACAACGCCAGTTCATCAAGTACAAGCTTCGCTGTTAACCTTGCTCGGAAGATTTTCAACGAAGATGAACTTTCTTCAAATAGATGTGGAAACTCTCGTGAAAGGGGCCAGCTTGACAAAGACAGATTAAATAGGGTGCGCGGCAACTTTTTCAGGGTCCTACAAGTTCCTGCATGTCTCCAGGAACTTGAGTGGCGCAATTGGAAGAGGGCAATCAACACCAATGGGAGGGAAATACCTAGGAAGCGTAGGCGACAAATTAATGAAACGTAGAACTGTTTCTGGTGTGTCCATGTTTTGATGTTTCCATCTTTTGGCTTATCGGTATAGAGACATTTTAAAATACTAAAGCGCTAACTCCTTAGGCGCGGAGAATCTTTGGAGCCATCCTGTGTGCAGACATTTTCAATTCATGTGCGTGTTTGTAGAACATAATGAAATTGGCGGGGCGTACATATGCACGTTTTACGGTCCGTTTTGCGTCCGTTGCACTTTTGGCCTTTAGTATTGCAAAAGCCTTAAATGCTACGGACGCAAAACACACCATAAAACATACAACTGGAAAGCCAACTTTAAGCGTGTGGCGACAGTTAAAAAAACATCACAGCAAAAATCATCCGCAGCGGATAAAAACACGCGTTTGCGCCATTTGCGCAGAACAAAATGAGATGCTCGTTTGGTGATCGTGCCTTTCGGTTTTGGGCGTATTGGCTTGGGCGTAGGTTTGTGCTCAACCACGAATGCACCCAGCAGGCATCACTTTGTTCATTGAGCAAGCGCTCTAGTTGTTGTGATATAACGCATGACTGGTACAAGTCTATTCATGTCTATCCTTGGTTACGTATGCAACGTACACAATTGCACAAGTGTGTTATGTGTGCAACCTCCCTGTAAAGCAATCAGACGATCGTCAATAAATCACTCCGTGTTGAAGCCGATATATAATCTTTCCAGCCTTGTCAGTAGTACCACATGGTGTCAGAAGTATTAAAAAACCCTTGGGACTCACCTGAGCAGGTATTTCAGTAGAGACAGTGACTGCAAAACCAGCGAAAATAGGTGCAAAGTGGCTGACTATCTGTCGCTTATTCTGGAAAATTCCACGTACATTCAGCGTGTGTATTACGTACTGTACAATACCGCATGCTACAGCGTAGGCCCTGTCATACAAACATTACACTGTGTGTGAACTTGTTTTCGGCTACTGTGTGCACAGAATAGATCAACTATTCTTGCAGTAATGGATGTACTGCCGCCACCAAGCGCACTTGAACTTACCGGTAATGTGGCGGAAAACTGGAAAAGGTTCAAACAACGTTTTCAGTTATACATCGATGCAATTGGGGCATCGAAGAAGGACGACAGACAACAAACGTCGATCCTGCTACATGTTATCGGTGAGCAAGCCCTTGATGTTTACAATACATTCAAATGGGATGAAGAGGGCGACCAGGAAGGGGACAACATGCGCCTGGCAAAAGTAATGGCCAAACTAGAGAAGTACTGCACCCCCAGGACCAACTTGACACTGGAGAGATTTCACTTCAATAACTGTTGCCAGCAACCTGGTGAAGGCATTGACGCGTACCTTACTAGACTGAAAAAGCACAGCAAAAAGTGTGAATTGGCACACTACAGGATTCGCTGGTCAAAGATAGACTGGTATGTGGCATCGTCGCTTATGTAACCAGAGAACGCCTGCTTCGAGAGGAAGACTTAACTCTTGAAAAGTCAAAATCTGCAAGGCTGCTGAACTAGTGAAAGAACGTTCAAAGGAGCTACAATCAACAACTCCAACAGTCCATGCCGTGCAGAAAAATCCATCTGCAAAACCAAAACCGCAGGGAGCTAACAGAAAACCTCAGGCAACAGCTAAGCCACAGAATGTACCTAAAGGAAAGCCCAGTCGCTGGAAGCACAGAAATGATTAACAGCAACAAACTAGTGACAAACATCACTGTAGACGATGCGACAACTGGCATGTCTCGGGAAAATGCCCAGCGTACGGTAAAACATGTGCTTACTGTAGAGGCAAAAATCATTTTGCCAAGTGTTGCTTCAAGAAACGCGCACAGGGCCAAGTGCACACAGTAGACAATGACGAGTCCACTGACTTTTTTCTGGATACCATTACAGTAGATTCAGTCAAGACACAAGCAAATGACTGGATATTTCCCCTCGCTATGAATGGTACAATCATACCTGTCAAATTGGATACAGGGGCACAGGTGAACATTCTGCCAGAGACAGACTTCAGTCGGCTGAAAATAAGCCACAACTACACCCAGCCACAGAGCCACTGAAAGCCTACAACCACAGCCAGATAATCGTCAAAGGCAAGTGTGTAGTGACTGTGGACCATGCAGCACGAAAACACAAAATGCTGTTCTTCGTCGTCCTAGGTGATAAACAAGCACTGTTGGGTAGACAAGCTTGCGAACAGTTAGGGCTTGTCAAAGTAGCCTGTGCTGTCACGAATCAGGAGCAAACCAAAGACCCCAACGACAACTACGCGAACCTGCTACACGAATACGGTGACATATTCGAAGGACTGGGTTGTTTGCCAGGGATGCACACAATCATCATTGATGAGACAGCACAGCCAGTTGTACATGCCTGCCGCAAAGTACCATTCGCTCTCCATAATGGTCTAAAGAGAGAACTTAAACGTATAGAGAGTCTTGGCGTCAACACCAGAGTGGATGAGCCTACCGACTGGATAAATTCCCTAGTCGTTGTCAAGAAAAAGATAGAGACATTCGTGTGTGCATGGATCCGAGAGATCTCAATCGTGCCATTAAAAGAGAGCACTACAAAATGTCCACACGAGAAGAAGTCATGTCACAGTTTGCAGGTGCATCATACTACTCCAAACTCGATGCATCACAAGGATTTTGGCAGCTTCAACTGGACGACAAAAGCAGTCGCTTGTGTACATTCAACACGCCGTTCGGTAGGTTCAGATATACGAGACTACCGTTCGGCATATCATCAGCACCAGAGGTCTACCATAAAACTGTTCACCAAATCTTCGAGTCAATCGATGGTGTCAGTACCTTCGTTGACGACATCATCATCTATAGATCCATCGGATTTTAGACCCCCGTGTAACCCCTTCAGTTCTGAGCACCACTTATATGGAAGGATTCCTAATCGATTGCTTAACAATAATATCCATGTTAAATAGAAAAAAAATGGAACGCATGGAAGTTATAGAGCATTGTTTGCCGAACTAATTTGTTTACATCGGACGCGCAATAAGTGTAAAGCCATGCGACGTCCAGTGAAAAAAAACAGACGTAATTATTCCGCGAAAGAAGCGACCATTATTCGGAGGTACGGTAATGTAGTTTCGTTTATTTGTTTATGTCTTCAATCAATAAAAAAACATGTGTTTTTCATTCAAATGCTGTTTAACTTGATTTATTATTGTCGAAATCATCGTTTCCATCGTTAATATGGCCATTTCAAGTACAATTTTATCCCGATACATATTTGTTTTATAACGCTCTCACCTCCGGCTAATGGTAGAGTCTTTGTTGATAGCAGATGTGTGGCCGCATGTGCGTGTGTGCTGTCAACGAGTGAGTGAAGATAAAATACATGATATTTTTACTATTTATTTGTGAACACAAACTTTGACGTTGGATTATTCATTTATGCAGTTCTGTTATGGACATCAGTAAACCTTATATTATATGTCTAAACTTGTTCTGTTGATAAATGGATCACTATGCTGGTAAATAATGACCGAGTTTTCGTAACGCTCTAACGCTAGCAGTAGCACTAGTATAGTCGTGTATTTACGACACTTCTTTTTAGAAGATCCGATATCCTTCCAAAACTTGTATTTGCATTTGACCCTAAAGATAGCCAATCCGAAGGTGACTTTTAAAGACCCCTAGTGAGATTTGTTGTTGACATTAGCCAATATTTTTAATTTTATAAGTAACTTTAGTTTTTACCGTTGTCATGGTTGTGCACTGACAAAATGTGTGTGTCGCCATCTTCTTTTTGCGTGTCAAATGTCATGGATGTTTTCAATTTACCCCATTGTTATCCCTCATAATTCAAAACACTGCCCTCTTTCAACATTTTAGCTTGCCGATCATAGAGATTTCCCTGCTTGAGACCCACCGTACGCTGCTAGTGCTACTTAACCCAACTACTATATTGCTTCAGCCCACTTGGTGAAAATGCAGGAAGAAGCTAATCTGCGAACATGCATTATTCACCACGAAGAGTCGACTGATCTTCGGTTTCATGTTATGAACCAGACGAGGCTACAAAGGATCCGATCAGTCAAGGAGGACAGACTCAAGATGCCCATTGGTTCACCCTATCGGATGGACATAATCTGTTGTCAAATACCGGATGAAATACCCACCCAAAGTTTTGATAGCTTTGGCTACCACAGAGGCTGCTACCAGCGCTTTACTGCAAACTTGCATCATCTTGAGCAACAAGGCGCCACAGAGCCAGAAGATCCACAAAGAAAACGTCCAAAACGAGATCCAGTAGAAGGGAAACAGGTAATGGAGCCATTGTCTAATGTGGGAGGGCGCTCGCCCAAGTATAGTGTATATTCGGGTATTTGCCATTGTTTTCTCCGTTTGCCAAATTTCTAGTGGGTGAAATGAAATAACTCATCACTGTTGCTTGTACATTTCAGGTTATTTTCCCAAAGCAGTGCATTTTTCAATGGAGTGGTCAACAGAGATGCAAGAGTACAGTCAGGAAAAAGGTCAAAGTAAAAGGTTCGGTTACAAGCGAAGGATTGTGTGTTTTCGATAGAGGTGGAGGAGAACGACTACAGGAGGTAGCAAATGAACGGAAGGACGAGGAGCTTTTGTTGAAAATAAGACATGTGGATTTGTTTGCTTGTGAAGCTATGTACCACAGGTAAATACATTTAGTTTATATACCATTACAGTGGAAATTGGCCAAAGGCCAATGAACATGGTTATGTACTTCTTTTTAATTTTTATGTCCAAAGACAGTTTCTGTGAACACGCATAGAATTTCACTCTGAGGGCCCATCCCAGATAGCAAGGCATGCCAACTGAACTTGTCCCTTGTAAAAAGAATATAATACACAAGGGTCTTGTCAGAATTTTCAAAATACATGACACCCTAAATCGTGCCATGCTATTGAAATTGTTCTTTTATTCCAATGGAAAATTGGTCTTTATAGTAGATCCTAAACATGTAACTTGATAAATAACATTTTCAATTTTATATGGCAGGTCATGCACCCAAGCATACATACGTAACTATGCAAGAGCGTCCACCTCGAGAGAGACAGAGGGCAAGTCAGAATCTACTAGAGAGTATCACCAAATGGTTGAAGCACACAGTTTTGCTTTTAAAGAAGTTTGTAAAGTTATTGACAGAGAGGTATTTCATTTTGCCCTTTATCATGACAAATATTAAGCACAGAGTTGAATTTTCAATAACACCGTTCAATGCTACCCAAAGAAAGTTCTACTAATGTGTTTTATACTCTACTGACCTTTTGCTAGTTTATGGTTACCTAACTAATTATGTCATTGTTATGCAGAATTTATTAGTTTGCATGGAAACAATTTTCCCTCACATGCAGAAGTTATTATGCAGCAAGAAAGTGCTGCTTCTTCAAGCAAACATGCTACGTTTAGCGTGTTGTTTTTTAGTAACCTCTGTTCAGAGTTCTTTGGGATTTAATGAATTATTATTTTTTGGCATTTTATTAAGTATTGTTGTATTTGGCCTAATAATTCATTGTATTATTATTTTTCAATTCATGAGTTTATGCATCGATGAAGTTGATTACCTGTAACTTGTTGACGAAGCAGAACATGCACATATGCAAAAATCATTGTGCAGGATACAAGTGCTGCTTCCATAACAAATGAAAGGTAAGTTTATACTAATCCGTGTTACAGTTGTTTTCTGTTAACGCCATTTAAATGTTTATTTTGTGCATGAATAAACAATTAAAGAGTTTATTTCAAAAACACGATAATTGCCACTTTAGAAGATTGGAAACAGCTGTCACACTTTTGTATTCTTTAAAATTTCATAGTCTTGAAAAAAAAATGAACGTTTTTCAAATGGCTAATATCGTGTTTTGGAAATAAACTCTTTGAATGAAAAAAAGAGTAGTCAAAGTGAAAACTTTCCAGCAATTTGTGTATTCTTTTGTCGGAACATTGCTATTCAACCTACCTCGCATTTTTTATATTCTGGAGGCAATGACTTTCCTCAACTTACAACTTTTAACAAACACAACTTTGAAAGTAAACAAACATTTTTCTCTGTTTCTAATTCAGGTCATTGGCAAACAAGGTGTGTTGAAGTTGAAAGAAATGGTAGACCTGTATTATGGCCATCTCCAAAGTACTCCATTCCACGTCGAAAATCCTCATGGGAACACTGTCAAAAATAAGATTGTAAAGGCATACGGTGAAACCATAACCTTCGTTGATATTGGCAAGGTAAAAGGGAAGTATGATGGCCTTATTATGTACAGTAGTAGCAACGAACTTGGAAATGCAATTCGAGAATCTTACAGACTGGCTTCCAAGAACCATCTTTTAGCCTCTGCAACGTTCCTACGAAACCTGGTGAAAGAAAACTTCAAAGAGTCAGAGCCTCTTCGATGGCCTGTGACAGCCAATGATCTTGAAAAACTTCCTGATCAGATACCAGCTGAGTTGAACAAATTTCTTTTTGTGTTATTCACTGGATCCGAGTCACCATACTGTTCACAGAGGGTGACTAGAGTGGTGGAGTCCCTAAGTCAAGATGTTTGCCGGGCAGTAACTTGCAACCGATGGAAGCTACCCAAGCACATCATAATGACGATGGCACTTCATCATATGTTTCGAAGTCGCCAACTGAATGACCTGGTGTATCGTCTGGGGCACGCAGAATCATATGATTTTGCACTAGAGCTTGAGTCGGCGATTGCAGATGCAACCGATGCATCCTCTGACTTACTGTCAACCAAAATTATCAGAAATCCAAGGGAGCCAAGTGTGTTTCATAGTGACTTTGACAATTTTGACAAGTTTGTTAACAGGATGGAAGGTGCTGGGTCGGTTCACACAGCTCACGGTATAATGCTGCAGGAGCACAATAAAGACGAAGTTGCAGCAACAAGACCATCTGAACTCCCTCAAGTTCCCAAGACCAAAAAACGGAGCTATGTAGCCCGGGAAGAAGAATTGCCTCCCTGTTATATGACCAAGCGAAAGGGGCCTGATATGAACATCAAGACACAGACAGTTGCAGGTAGTCAAATTGTGAGGGAACGTGCCAACAAAGTCAATAGTCTGTGGGTTTTGGCAAGGAACATGTCTTCAGGGAGTAGCCAAGAAGTACCTGGATGGAATGGTTTCATTTCAGAAACTGGAGTGCCACCTTCAACGTTGACATCCCTTGACTATTATCCTGTTATCAATCATCCCATAACAGAGTACTGCACAATTCAAGAATGCCTGCGTGTATCTGCCGAAGCCACCAAAGAAGTAGGACAGGAATGGGTGATTACAACGTTTGACTTGGGAGTATGTATGAAGGCATTTCCATTGGTGTGGACCAAACCTGGGTATGAAAAGCACATTATTCTAATAGGTTCCTTCCACCTAGTCTGTGCGTACCTGAAGATGGTGGGGAAAAAGATGGCTGATACAGGTTTACAGGAGGTGCTGTTGGAAGCAGAGCTGACAACATCTGGCTCAATGAAGGGGGTCATCGAAGGCAAGAATTATGCTAGGGCAATGTTTTGTCATAAAGCCATTGTTGAGGCCCTTGAAAGGCTACTCCTTCAGAGATTTACATCTGAGAACCATGCCAACAACAAGATAGATGGTGTCAGCTCAGCCAAGCTAAGGCAGTTGGTGGAACAACGATGCGATGAGCACCTTGCCCTTGTCATGGATGACCCAGACCTGATGGGCTTCCTTGGAGCTTATGAATCATTCAAGGACAACATTCGCGTAGGAAAACTCGGAAAGACGCCCCAGCTGTGGATGTCCTACATGGACCACGTTTGGCTGTTACTGAGGTTCATCCTAAGCGTCAAAACGAATGATTTTGAGCTCTATCAGGCTTGTACGTTCGAGATGCGTGGCATATTTTTTGCTTTTAATGGGCAAAATTATGCACGCTACCTCACATACTTCAGTGCCTTCCTTGCAAACCTAGATGAGAGTCACCCAGGAGCTTCTGATCTCCTTCGTGAAGGTGCCCTTAGTGTAGCCCGGTCCTTTGTGCCTGGAAATCGATGTGCAGTTGACAAGACTATCGAAGAGACTTTCATGAAGCACTCGAAGACACGTGGAGGTTTATCGGGTTTAGAAAGAAACATGGGAACTTATCAACGATGGGTCAGGAGCACGCATGAGAGGACTAGGTTTATGCAGGCAGCACTCAGTATGGCCGATATGCTGGACACTGATGCACCCAACCACATCGTCCATAATGACTGTAAGCCATCCAACGTGAGAATGTCGGAACGTATGGTAAGAAGAACTACCAAAGCCTTTGAAAGTCTGCTGAATCCGTTTGATTGTGATGACCTAATGTTACGTTCCATTGCATCTGGTGCAGCAATTGCCGACGAAATCGCTGATAGTATGTTAGGTGCTGAGAAGATAGGAAATGCGGCAGCTGATGCATTTGTTGTTTCCCGGTTTGTCGACAAGGATGGTGACATATTTGAGCCAATCAAGAGAATCAAGATCATGGGAGTACAGAAGAAGACAGTTAAGCTGAAAACATCAACAAACAAACTGGTTGAGATGAAGCAACAAGGAAGTGTTGCATTGCAGCTGCTAGCTAAATGTGAAGGGGAGGAGACATTGTGGGAGTTCATGAAATACCCCTTACTGCCTGTACCACCTTCGCTTGGGACTCCAGACGGCTTCTTAGCAAAGACAAATAAGAGCACTGGGATGAACTACATCACTAAAAATATATCTTCGGAAGAAGTGTTGAATCCATCTGCTGAAGTGATGTATGTTGAAGATGGTAATGCTCTTTTCTACTGCATTAAACTACAGAAGACATTTGGAGACGTCTGTCGAATGTTGTTTTCCATGGCCACTTCGGGTAAGCGGGACAATGTTATCTTCAGCACAGACAGCTATGAGCCACAATCAGTCAAGTCCCAAGAACGGTTGCGTCGAGGTACAGGGGAAAGACGTATCATCAAAGGAAGCAGCACCCGCTGTCCTGAAAGCTGGCCATCATTCCTGGAAAACGATGGTAATAAAGTCCAGTTGGTCAATCTCATTCAGAGGTGTTGGACAGAAACAACTACAGCCAAGAATGTTATCCTTGTCAATGCAGGTAGAGCATTTCAGATGAAATTTGAAAGTTCATCGGAGATCCTTGAATTGTATTCCAACCAAGAGGAAACGGACACAAGGGTTGTCCTCTACTGTTTGCATGCCGCAAGAACTGGGTACAAAACAGTTGTTGTCCATAGCCCAGACAGCGATGTATTCTTTATTCTCATGCACTTTGCTGCCACCATTGGAATAAAAGTGTTGTTTGAAACAGGAACCGGTGACAAGAGGCGCCTCCTTAACATCACTGCACTAGCTGCTGATCTATCACCAAAGAGGTGCAATGCCCTGCTGGGATTGCACGCTTTCACCAGGTGCGATAGCACAAGCTGCTTTAAAGGCAAAGGCAAGGTCAACCCGATCAAGCTCATTGAATCGAACCCCAGATTTGAGGATGTCTTTGTCGAGGTTGGAGAGCAGTGGGAGGTTTCGACTCATCTGATGAACGGCCTGGAGGAATTCACATGCCGGATGTACTCCAACAAGAAAAAACGAGCCACAGACGTCAATCAACTGCGCTGGGATCTGATACAAAAAAAGTCAGAGGGGAAGGTGTCAGTGAAAAAGAACATCGACCTAGCTAAGCTCCCACCATGCAGAACTAGTCTGGAGCAGCACTGCAGACGGGCGAACTATCAAGTTGCCATCTGGAAGAGGGCTGCAGAGCATTGTGCAGCTGTTCCTCGCCCATGGTGCAATCATGGTTGGGCCCTTGAAGGCGACACAGTTGTGCCAAAGTGGTATGAAGGTGACACTTTACCACAGCAGCTGATCGATTCACTAGCAACAATCGTAGATGAAGAGTCTGACGACAACATTGAGGAAATGGATGACAGTGAGTGCGAAGACGTTGGAGACAGTGACACTGACAGTGACAGCGATGATGAACTCTAGGATGCATAGCTATAGAACAGTATTCTTGTGGGGCTGAGGTGTGTTGAAATTGCTTGACTGTTTCCTTGATTGTTTTTTTTGTGTGTTTTTTTTTTTGGGGGGGTATGTACGTGTGTGTTGGTTACTTGATCTGTTTGTTCATTTGTCTGTCTTTGCCTATTTGTTCTTATGTCTGTATGGGTGTCTTGCTAGTTGTCTGTGTGTCTGTCTGTTGTCCTGTCTGGGTGTGTCGGGCTGTTGTCTTGCTGTATGTCTGTCTGTTTGTCGGTCTGTTTGTTCTAGGCCTGTCGACTGAAGATGTTTTCCTTTGGGTCATATGTCTGCTTCACTTTTACGTTGTCTGTAGTCCCGTCTGTTTGTTGGTTAGGCTTTCCATGTGTCATTACCCGGACATTATCACGCAGTGAAGACCGGATCGCCTCCCTGTTATTCCCATTAATAAAAAAAAAACATGACAAATGGTTGAAATGTTCCTTTTTTAATTTTCCTTCAACGGTACGCGATACTTCCAGACTGCTGCCAAGGCATTTTTTTTTATCAACAAAGACTTCACCATTAGCAGGAGGTGGGAGTGTTATAACACAAATATATATCGGGATAAAATTGTACTTGAAATGGCCATATTAACGATGGAAACGATGATTTCCATAATAATAAATCAAGTTAAACAGCATTTGAATGAAAAACACATGTTTTTTTTATTGATTGAAGACATAAACAAATAGACGAAACTACATTACCGTACCTCCGAATAATGGTCGCTTCTTTCGCGGAATAATTACGTCTGTTTTTTTCACTAGACGTCGCACGGCTTTACACTTATTGAGCGTCCGATGTAAACAAATTAGTTCGGCAAACAATGCTCTATAACTTCCATGTGTTCCATTTTTTTTTCTATTTAACATGGATATTATTGTTAAGCAATCGATTAGGAATCTTTCCATATAAGTGGTGCTCAGAACTAAAGGGGTTACACGGGGGTCTAAAATCCGATGGATCTACTATGGAGCAACCAAAGAGGCCCATGATCGCAGCCTACGACTGACACTTGAAACAGCACGTCAAGTGAACCTGAAGCTGAACAGAAGCAAATGTGAAATTGGCGTCACACAGCTCACATTCATTGGTGATCTGGTAACGACAGATGGTGTCAAACCAGACCCCAATAAGGTCGCGGCGATCAACAACATGCCCAAACCAGAAAACAAGCAAGAGCTT